GGTAGGCAACTACCCTGGAGGTAAAACCTGCAATACCGCAGCATTACTACGGCAATCCACAGTATTTGGGATTACTGTAGAGGGACATGGATTTATCTTTGTGCAGAGGTTAAGGCAGAGACGTAGCTGTCAGTGCCCAGCGAGGGAGGGGGAAAGGAGAGAGACCCCTGCTCATGAAATCCGGAGCGAGGAACGCCCCAGATCCCTGGAATCCTCACCCATTACCCAAAATACGTTATCCTTCCCTTCCGCAGAGGGAAATACCAGAACCCAGGCAACGCTGTGAGCAGCCCGGCAAGGGAGGCAGCGAAGGTAGTCAGCGGGGCAGAGAGGTTGCGCTAGCGGAGCCGACGGCTTTGCCGGCTGCAGCGCCCGACGAGCACCTGCTGGGGCAGCCCTCGGGGAGCACCCCGGGCAGCATCGCGCTGTGACCGCGCGACCGGCGCCTCCGCAAACCCGCGGCCATCGCGACCAAACCCGCAACCTCTGCTAAAAACAAACACTTCAGGCCAACGTGTCTGGCCAATACCTGGCTTGTTACAGCACATCTTGTGACTGCGCAGTGCATCCTGCTCACAGCGCCCACAGCAGCCAAGGAGTCCTCCTGCTTGTTTTTTGCTTTTGAAATTCAAGACTGTTCATGAAGGATTCCAGAGACTCTCCAGAAAAAGCTCCCTGGTCACTGCAAAATAGGGAAATGGTTGTACAAAAGCAGTCAGAAATGAGGTGTTTCAAGCTCTTTGTTTTTCACTTGCTTGGTCGCTTCGTGATCTATAGTCAAATACTACTTTGAAAAAATTATACATTTTTGAAAGAGTTGTCATCCTGGTTGCCTTATTTAAGATATGAATTTAAGTAACTTGCTCAGGCATCTAGCAGCTCACCTTCAAAACAAACAAAAAAAACTTAAACCCCCCCAAAATAGACAGAATCTTCTACTGCAGAAAACTAATAATCTCATATATAAGGTCCCAGTTCACGGTCACCTGGTTGACAAACCAAAAATACTGATTTCTGTGCTTAGCCCTTCCTTGCGACATGGAAGACGTCTCCGTGCCAGCCACCCCAGCAGGGGAGACCCCGCTAATTCCACTGAACTCACCTGAACTGAGACTGTTCTGAGACACATAAAGATGCAAATTCAAATCTTGATTACCCTTTTTTACACATATATTCATCGTATAGTGCTGAATAAGAACATAAATTACCGCTTTTACTGTTAAGTTTATGGTAAATATTCTTCTGTTATGTGCCAATATTATGAGACAAATAATTTACTGCAGCATAATATTAAGATACTTTCTCTATTTGCCTGATTGCAATTTCCATCCTTCTGTTGATTGACCCTGAAGAGCAAGAGTGAAAAAAAAAAAAAAAAAGCCCCCCAGGAACGCGTGGGACAGAGTCTGCTCTTAGACGTGTGTCTTCCAAACGGGCCGATCCAACCCACTTGGCATAAAAAGCCTTCCTGACAAGAGGACGTTAACGTCCCCCTCAGAAATGCCCTAGATCAGCCATGAAATCAATGTTGTCAATGACCCAGGAGCAGCTACGCTCTGTGCTGATCGAGTCTACCAGATCATGGAGCGAATCGTCTGATTCCGAGTGAACTTTTCTTCTTGCTCCGTGAGCAATTTCTTGGAGAGAGAGAGAGAGAGGAGACACTACATGTTTGGGCTTTTTATCTTAGTCACTCTCATGTATTTTTATGTGTTTTTCACAGTTAAGGCTTGATCAAAGAATGAGAATTAAAATACTATGAGCCCGTGGAAACAGTTCTCAGTTTTGCCAGGATCATTTCTCTTCCATCCTATGAAGTGCTGAGCAAATGCCAGACCATGGCACATCTCCACCTTCCCCTAGAAAGTGCCCGCAAAATCCTCCCCACATTCCAACGACCGGGGCCGTTTCAGGGGAGCGGAGGGCGCCCGGCTCGCGCAGGCCCCCCGACCATACGGCAGCACCGTCCTTTAAGTCACCGCGGGGGACACTTCCCGGCACAAGTTTTCAACAAAGTGTCACCATGGTCACAGGCCCTGCTCTTGCTCCTGCTCTTCCCACAGAGCAGCGTTTGTCCGGGGCCCCGGGGCTGGAAGCTCCCCCTGCACCCACGCACCCCTACACGCGGTGCCAGGCAGTGCTGCTCTCACCTGCTTTGCCTCCCTCATTCACGGGGGCAAAATCACCGCTGGTTACGTGGAAAGACGCACGGCAGCGTTTGCAGCACGCGAGACGCCAGCTCAGGAGCACCCTGGTTCCAAGGAGCAGCCCCGCAGGAGCACCCTGAGAACGGGGCGAGCGCGGCCAGACAGGCTGGGTCCCCACCCCGGCCGGGGCCGCGCGGGCCGCTGTGACAGCCCCGCGAAGGCGGGCCAGGAGCGTGAACACACTCACCACCCTCCTGCATTTTGTTCTCTTTCTACTGGATTTTTGTTATGGCGATTTGCACATTAACTATGTGTTATAGCAAAAATCTACCTTTTTATTTTCCCATAGCTAAGTGTAAAAAAATTAATACTGTTCTTCCAGTAGAAATGCATCTTGGTCAGTATCTGCAGATATGCATGAAAACTATTTAGTTGATCAACGCTAGGTAGAAATAATAGAAAAACAGGCAGAGCGGAAGCCAAGGACACCAAGGTCCTCTTGACTCGTGCATCTACCATAGCATCTTATTTAGAGTGAGGTAAACTCTAGGACAATTCATTATTCCCAAGCAATGCACAAATAAATGCATTCTGCATTACTGTGACCTCCTGTGGCCGAACTCTCAGTTAGGTCAGGAAAGGCAAAGCATTTTGGTGTCTCACCCCAAGTTATTTGTTAAAGCTCTGTAGCTTGTTATAATTGGTGCCAGCCCAAATGCCTATAGCTGCCAAGCTTGCATGAGGCTGTTATTTGTGATAACAAAAGTCCGTTAATAACAAGCCTGACACCATTTAACAGCATCCTGAAGATGTATGGCGACTTGAAAATGCTGTTTGAGATTTAACCCACTGAGAAACCGCACTGAAGCACAATAAATATGTTCTAATTGCGGCAAAATGCAGGGCGAGCCAAAATTAAGATTGCCAGAGCACTCAAGATAGTGAATCTGAATGACCTGCCCGTGCTGTTTTGCTCCCGCCCGGCCGGGCTCCCGCGCCCTCCCGCCGCGACATGGC